GAGGAAACATTCCACTGTAAGTTAAAGCTGCAGTCTAACTTTTTTGTGTTCAAAATTTGCAAAAATTATATAATGAGCAAGTAGCCTACATCATGAATCCATTTTCCAAATCGTTTTTTTTGTCTCAAATCACTACGGTACACCTATAATACGTGTTTATATTCGGACTATTTTAGACTGGTTCGGGTCGTACCAGTGCGGAGTAGCCTAGTAACTGCGTGACTCGTCATAGACATAAACAGAGAGAAGTAGCTGTTCTTCCGCAAGACGCATGCAGTTCTGATGAGGGTGTTTATTTTGTACAACTTGCAACTGCTTTTTTTTATCACTTAATTAGAAGCACCACAATTTTAATATTGTGTCTTCTGTTAGTTACATTGCAATTGCTGAACAGACATTTAGAAGTTTATTTTAAAATCCAAAGTATGAAAAATCTTTGTAAACACTTGGGGGTGAAACAGGGGGTGAAAGTTAGGGCCCACGCACTTTTGGGGCCCCCAGAGATCGATCTTATTAATGGAATGGGTGCGGTAGGGGGCCCAACCTCATATTCTTTCATAGGGCCCAAAATTGCTAGTGGAACCCATGCCATCAGGTAATCAAAAGTTCTGCACACATTTGCAGTCTTCACGCCCACAGGAAATAAGTAATGTAAGTAGACAAGTAGTCAAGTGCAAAGACCGCAAGTGTGGGTATTTGGACAGGGCAAGAAACACTCCACCTTCCCCAGCTCCACCTGTATAGATCAGCTACGAGGGTTATTTCATGTTATATCTGCAGCAGCAGCATGTCTGTGAATGTATTGGCAGCAAGTCTCTGCACTTAATCTGCAGGAGCAGATCTATTCCACCAAGACCAAATACATTAACATTGCCACATTCATTACCATGGCAATCTCTCCAAGAGATGTCATGACAGAAACATGTTTGGAGTGAACAGTAAATTTACGTCTTGTGTAGCATATTAAAAGAAAAAATAAGGACATGAATTATAAATAACGAGTTTAAATTACTTTTTTTTTTCAATTAAATTGAACAAAATGAATAAATTACAGCATAAAATATATTTTAAGAGTGAGCATTTCTAGTTCAATGTCCGGAGAAAAGTTTATTTGTATTTTATGCATACTGCATTACATATTCCAATAAGCATAACCAGAATAGCCTAAATGAATCTTAATCTGAAAGTGCTGTGCATGTAAACGTGGTCACTGTCACAGATTCAGGACAAATGTGGAGTGCTTATGGGTCATTGACATGTCCTGTTGTGTCTTTATGAGCGTGTTGATGCTGGATTTTTTTTTTTTTTTTAAATCGGGATTAAAGTGGACTCCAGCCATGCTTCCTATAATCAGATTGAAGAGCTGCTGTTGGCAAAATCACATCTGGATGGAGCCTGCGAGGGGGAGGAGTTAGTTTCTATGGAGAGAAACAGCTTCACAAGCCTAATATACCAGCGATCAATGTAGGCTACTGCATAAGTGTTATAATAATTCAAAACTCCGTAGCTGCACGCGCTGCACAGTCCAGATTTACCGATCGACACATGCACATTTGCACAGCCCTAACGAACGATACAAACGCACATCGGTCTGTAACTGTGGTTTATCATAAAGTCTTACGCTGTGTGCAGAGTCAGAATCATGCAAGACGTTTTAAGAAAGAGTAGTCTGTCTCCTCTCTGGAAATGATTCTCGGAACTGCGACTCAGTGTAACTGACGGGACACAAAAGCTGATATCTTTTTTTGGAGATCAGGCGATGGTGCAGAAATTGGGTAAGTTCATTATTTTAAAATGATGTCATTTGCCAGTGCTTCTTAAATGTCACAAAGTTGCTTTAATCTAGTTTATAAGAGAATCCCCTGTCATTTTATATACTGCATGAATCCTGCAAAGCATCTGCTCTGCTGTGATGAATCTCCTGCTGTGTTGCTGTTCATTGCAATGAATTCAAGTTTATCGTATTGCTCAGTATTTGTTTGGCACGTGTCTCTGAGAATGATTAATAATTAATATTAATATTATTATTTTTTATCAATAATACATTCTACAAAAGTTATGTTTGTTTATTTCCAACATTTAGTCTAGATCTTTCAATGGTTGTCTTCCAGTAGGCTGTCCATCAACATGCATTTTACTGCCAGTGGTAGAGTTGTGACGTTCGCGAACGAACCGATTCTTTTGAACGGCTCATAAACATGAACGATGGGAGCCGAGTCGCGGCTGGAGGGGAGCCGTTCTTTCTGTCGTTCTTTTATTCCTGTGCGTGTTTCACACAGATGCACACAAATTAGCTCCTCAGTTATAGGGGAAGGGGCGAAAGCATGATGATAGTTGTGCACCCGCGCGCATCCTTTGCTCCAGTGGAAAAAAAACCCTACGTGCCTCTGTCATTGGGTAGGAGCGGAGCCAATGACTTGTGCACGCTGGCGTCACATGGTTACTCCAGTTAAAAAAAAAAAAAAAAACACGTTCATGTTGATGTTATTGTATCTAGAGTATATATTTACAACTTTAAATATTTTTTGTTTTTTATCAAAATGTTCTTGTGTGATAACAATGTTCTTGTGTGGAAGTGTTAGTGTTTGTAGTAAAAGCTGTTTTGCACAGACATTCATTGCAGCCGGCTTTGTTTTTTATGTTTATTTGTGAGTAGGTATTGTATGAATAACATAAGTCAACATAGCTTTACACATACACACACTTTGTACTAAAGGTAAATCCAAAATAGTGATGTCACTTTCTAAGCAGAGGGATGTTGTGCAACCCTATGGAATATAGTCCACACATGACAAATGAGGTAATAATCAATATTTCAGAATAATTCAAACTCAGATATTGGTGTGTGATATCTGAGTTTTAATTATTTGACTAAAAATCTCACCTCATCATTCCTCCCAGTGATTATTTCCAAGATAAACTGAGATGCCCCCAAGCTGGCTTCTTAAAACTGACTAAATATTTAAAAAGAGCCAAAAGAGCCGTTCTTTTGAACGGCTCTTTGAAAGGAACGGATCGCCAAGATCCGGATCCCCTCAAAGAGCCATAAATCCCATCACTAGCCAGTGGTAGTTCAGAAGAGATTATTAAAGGCCATGAGTATCCAAGTCTGAGATTTAAATTAGTAATCAATAACATTTTGGGAGTGAATGTTTCATTGTACATCATTTTTACCCTGTTGCAAGTCATAGCTGTAATTTGACAGATATTAGCAGAATTTGATTGAAAGAAAGCCATATTTACCTCACCAAATGATAGGCAGACTGTATACACTTATATCCTATATAACATTGTTGATTGTTCAGTATATTAGATGACACATGAGTTTCATCATGCCACATAGTGTAGATGTGCCCTTGGTTTGTTGGTCTGTTGGTTTATTATTTCATCAGTCCGTTTTGAATGGAGGGATTAAAGAGAGTTTGCCAGTTGCTGGAGAATTGGTGTCACAGGGTTACATAACCACAGAAGGCTGTCTTTAACTTTAACTTACTTTTAAATGCCTTACTTGACCTAGAAAGATAGCGGGAGATCTTTGCTTTTAATTAAGTCAGTTGGCTGAACTAAAGTCCCGTTTTCTCCTGACTAAGAGATATATAGCTTAGTCTCTCATTCTGGTTCCCTTGATGGACTTAATAGTATTTTAGGATGCTAGAGCAATGTTTACAATTTATGGGCAAAACAAAATGAATATGGGTTCTGTTACAAATAAATGGTGTTGTTTGTGTATTCTGAATTGAAGTATTACATAACCTCTTTTAAATAGCCCTACTGTATAAACAAAATCATTTTCCTAAGTGTCCATTAGCTTGTTTCTTTTTTTATTTATTGAGGACAGAAAGAAAACAATAATCTTAGTGTATTTTCAGCACTTTAGGGAACAAAACACATGCTGAAATGTAACATTAACAGAGTAAATGCAAATATTCAGCATTCTCTGTCTTGCTCCATTGCTTTTCCTTCTACACATATAGGATAAAATCAGGCACAAAGTGCATGAACATTCTTAAAACGTTCTTAAATCCTTATATAATCCTTATAGTGTCAGTGCTTTCTGACTTTTTAAAAAAGTGTTTAGAATTTCAAAGTTGTTATCGCCCAAAACATATACAGTAGTCAACATTGAAGTGGATCAAAACCTTTTTGAAAGTTATACATGAATTTGGAACAAAACCCATTCTTGTCTTAGGACAACTTTGATGAACCTTTTTGATCCACTTCAAATGTTGACTACTGTATTATGCATTATATAAGATTTATAAACTCTAGTCTAGACAATATTCATATTCAAAGAGGGTCATCTAGAGCAGTGGTTCTCAGCTTTTTGACTTGAAGGGCCCCCTTTATCAGACGGTATATTTGAAGGCCCCTTCTTCATATTCAGTAGACCACAATGCATTCATAAAAATAAAGATTCCAAAAGTTATTCCATAATGAAGAACCATTTTGGGTTACCCAAAGAACCTTTTTAGTGATCAGTTCTTAAAATAACCATTTCTTTCTTAGCGTGAAGAATATTTGAATAATCTAAAGAACCTTTTTGAAATACAAAGAACTCTGGGTTCGGGCCAAAATACCGAGCTCGGAGCCCTCTCCTCGGACAGCACGCCAAATGCATTCATCTTTTACTCAATCTGATTATTTGTAAGTGTGAACTCGTGAATTAACAGAAACTGGTGTGTGAGTGCTGAAGAAAATTAGTTTTGTGAAGAACTGTACGTTCTTGAGTAAATTTATATTTCAACATAATTCATTTAAATAATTTAAAGTATAGTCCCTGGTTGAGAACCACTGCTGTAGAGGGAAAAGAGTTGAAGAAGTTACTTAATTGTGGAAAAAAACTGATCCAGTCAATGTTTTGTCTAAAATGAGCATTCCCAAAGAAAGAATCTTTCTCATGGTCATAATGCTTTGTAATGCTTTACAAACTGCTGATGGAAGCAAAATAACTGTGTTGCCCAGATATCTAGGGGCAAAATAGTTTCATTGTCTTGTTTTTGCTGACTCAAAAATGTTTTACTTTTGCCGTGTATAGATAAATCATGGCAGGGATGACAGGGAATGAAGGAACCCACAAATTTTCCAGTGAGATCCAGAGGCCGGGTCTACAGCCACAGCATGACACGGGCCGGAGGGGAATAGTGATCCAGCTGACGGACACCGAGGGTGAATGGGACAATCTTGATGACAATGACCTCATATTCACCTTGGACTGTGATGGCAAAAAGTCACTCAGCTCCCTCCGTAACCAAAGACCATGTTCGGTCGACATTCAGACAGAGGGGGAGTGGGGTCTCAGCTCACCCGCATTCAATGTTCCTCTCTCTCCACCTTCATCAGGCTCCCTGGGAGACTCTTTTCTTCCGGGGACTGGCTTCCTCTCGCCTTCTCACCGGCCCTTGGCCAGCTTAGTGAAGTCATTATCTACAGAACTGGAACTGAAAGAGTCTTCTTTAAAGCCCAAACCACTCCTTAGCCTTGTAAAGTCGATTTCCACCGAGCTTTCTCGCAGTGAGCCTGAAGTGTCTCAATCCAGGTCTGATTCCAAGCTCAATCTGCACTTGTGGACGCAATTCACCCAGCCCAAAAGTCGCAATGGTGACTCCCGCACCGCCCCTCCTTCTCCGGTCAACCTGTCCCCCACTGAGCCCAAAGCAAGCTTCTTTAAAATGGAGCTGGAGGACACCCGACGCAAGCTCTCAGAGGCCATGCAGGAACCTCTGAGCATGTTCAGTAAGATCATGCGTGAGGACAGTGTTGGCAGCCCCAAGCACCAAAGGAGCACAGGATCGATGGACTCTCCAAGCTACAAAAACGTCGGAATCGGGAAATCGAACACTGATTTGACTGTTTCCGAATCTCCGAAACGTGCTAGGAAAGTAGAAAGTGAGGTTCTACCGGAGTGCAACTGGCCTGTGAGACATCGTAAACGGTGTATGCAGAAGTCCTCCCTCTCCCATGACCACCATAGCACACAGATAGACATTGGACCTGTGATGGAGACCAGCATTAACAAAACTGATCAAGGTTTGACAAAGCAATGCTCCTCTCCAGTGCCAGGAGTGGCTCTTGGTTATATTGCATTAGTGTCATACTGCTATTTTATCATTCCTTTGTCAGCGTATTGGTCTGGCCTGTTCCTTGGTTTAGTGTTTGGATTAATTTTGGGGCTTGTGCTCATCCATTGGGGCTCCATCAGAGACCTGTCCACCAGTCACCAACACAGACTACATGGGACCCCCTATAATAACATTCTCTTTGAAACCCTGCAGAGCAATGTACCTTCCCTCAAGGTGAGTTGCATTTTCATTGCGAATATATTTGTTAAAAAAGAATTGGTGTTATACTCTGTACTTGCAATGGAAACTTGCATACATTAATATAATGCATCCACTTGTAATGTAACCCAGTATGAAATAATAGTCAGAATAGCAAAACATTCTATTTTTGGACAATATGTAAAAAAAAAACTGTAATATATACAATATACACTTATGCTCACCAAGGCACTACAACAAAAAAACACTAATATTGTGAAATATTATTACAATTTAAAATAACTTTTCTATTTGAATATAATTTATTCCTGTGATGGCAAAGCTAAATTTTCCACAGGCATTACTCCAGTTTTCAGTGTCAAATGATCCTTCAGAAATTATTCTAATATGCCGATTTTGTGTGCAAGAAACTTTTTTTATTACTATTCCAGTTTAAAACAGTTAATAATTGTATATTTTTTACGAGCTGTTTAATTCATAATATTTAATTAAAATCAAAACTGAATCACAAGAAAATTAAGTAATTCAAACTAAATTCATAAAATGATCCCGTGATGGGAACCCCTGAAAGGTTATGAAGCGCCTGACAGAACCTTTTAAGGTTCTATATCCTGTGGTCAGTGTTTTTTACTTCACTCTTTATTGTCACTTTTGATTAATTTGATGCATATACATATCAGTTTCCATTATAAATTTATCTTAGTAAAGATATTTTTAATTAAAGACATGAATAATACCCATATTTATTAGCCATATGTGATACGCCCATTTTCAAAACAATGTTTCTGTATATAAAGTATGAAAAATCAAGTTAGCGTAAGTTGCATATCCACTCATTACATTTTCATTTTGAAATACCAATAACAATATAAAAGTTGTTCTTACTGTGACTTTATCAAGTTTCCCAGCAAAAACAAATGCATCACGACACAGAGGCAGACATTTTTGAAATTGTTACAAGTCCTTCTACTTCCTGAAGAGCATTGATAATCCATGAGAGGGCAGAAGACATGTAGTTGGGTTTTTCATTATAGGGTTAAATGCTAAGAAAAGCAACAGAACTTGCATGCTGCTATGCTATTAAACCAAATCCTGTACTTCAATGTGTCAAAGCTCATGTCCTTCGGATCAGTTTTTTTAACACACTGCAGTGAATTTCACAGTGTCTAAAGTAAGCAATAAGCATCTTGCTTCTCTCTAAAAACTGAGAAAACCCCTTATTACCAATCTGCTGTGTTATAAACTCTGCTCTTCAGTGTCTGATGCAGAATAAAATACACCCACTGCTCGTCACAGCTCTTATCCTGATGCCCTACTTCTTGAATTTGTCAGTCTTTGTGCTAAAACTTTGTAGCGAGGATGCAGAGATTACAGTAGAGTTTAAGCAAAGTCTATCTGTGTTCCAGGGCTGGATGAACGAGATTTACATATATGATCCAGAGACTTATCAGCCATCTCTTATGCACTCTGTGTATGTCACATTGGATGGACCCTGTTTGCGGCTTGACTACCCACGGAACAACATTCCCCGCTGGGCTGCCTTTGATGAGCCCTGCTACGAAAAGCAATTCACCCACTCACGGATATTTCGACTCACTGGCAGCAAGGTTTGTGTCCCACTGATTTTAGCCCCTTAGTAGAAAGAGGTGCATTGCCCTTCAGTGCGACACAGTTTTTCTTATGGTCTCTAAACCCAAATTGCTTGAATTATAATGTGGCAGAATGTTGCATAGATGACACATAATCATAATGAAGTTGTTGCCTTGGTAACAGGTATTTCTTCTGCCACTGGCTTTGGCACACAAGAGAGTGTGGAACAGGAAGTATCCCATCTGCATACGTTTGGCTGAAGGAGAAGGAGCTGTGGAAGAAGACGAGACAGTAGAGGGTCTGGGCGAGGTTCAGAAAGTAGAGAAACCCCCTGGATCTATGACTAATGTTTCCATTCCTGTCACACTTTACCTCTTTGGACGAACGGGACGGGAGAAAGAGGAATGGTTCCATCGACTGTTTTCTGTGTCCATTCAGAATGAAGAGGACCATTTTGAATCTATATTTGGTGGTAAAGTTCAAATCATTTATGATGAAGTAAACATACAACATACATAAAAATAAAATAAAAAGAAACAAAACGTAATTTGACAAAATATGTCAAAAAATGTTTTTGCATATGTGTATCATATTTGATTTATGGCTTTTAAATGAATTTATTGATCATTTTGTTTTGATCTATTTTATTTTTGTTGATAAGGGAACATTTTAACTTTGCTTTGTGGTAGTCAAAAACAAAGAATGAATAGGCCTATATATGCCACCACTCCAAAACATTTTAGGCCTAAATATAAGATTATACACTCTAAAAAATGCTGGGTTGTTTTAACCCAATTTTGGGTCAAATATGGACAAACTCAAACATTGGGTTAAAAATTT